ATGAACATGTACTGCTCCTTGAAATCATTGATGATCTGCTCGTCCACAAACTTGGCCGGATCGAAGGGACTCTTGACTGCAATAAACACACAAACAATAGGGTATATCAAACAGGGGCATCTTGTAGAGCAAGAGCAATTGAAGGCACGCACCCGCCAGCTGAGCGCTGCCCCAAATGAAGGGCACAAACTGAAAGTCGTCCAGCGACCAAACGCCCTGGCTGCCCGCCGGCTCCATGTTGTAGGTGCGCTGCAGTTGGCGTGCAAACTCCAAATAGCGTTTGAACAGGCGCAGCGCAGCGCTAACAATGTCCTGCTCCAGCAATATCTCCGCCTTGAACAGGGCGCACAGAAAGAATATAAACGAGAGCTCATGCCCGGTGCCATAATCGATGCGTGTCGCATTGCCGAAACTCTCCAGCAGATACTGCAGCAATTCGTTGTGGTATTTGTGCTTGGCGGCGGGCAACAGCTGCGCCAGCAGGCCGGGCAGCTGCTCGTGCATGGTGCGCGACCAGTCCCGATAGGCCTTGTTGCCAAAACGCTGCGGCTGCTCCAGCGGCGGATGCTCCTTGACCAGCTGGGCCAGCGCATCGAATAGGCCCAACAGCTTGCGCAGCACATCCGATTCGTACATCTCGTCCGTTGTCTTGATGCCCTGTATGGCCGAGCTGGTGCCATTGATGTAGCCAATTAGATCGTGATAGGCACGGGAGCGCTGCCATTGCGCCAGATCTGCGGCATTGTGCACCCGCTTCTCGATAGCCGGCGATTTGCCTGAAAGCGTGTAAATCATCGTTATTTTGCTGGTGTATCGCGGCGCATGTGTTGCTCTGCTCACCGGCTGCCATTGCATTGGCATCGGCCATGCTTTTTGAGCGTTGTTTATTTGTGGTTTCCTCTTTTTTTTACTAAGAATTACGTTTTTGTTTTGGAGAAATATATATATATAGACGCAAGTGTGACCGCGATTGCTGAACAGCTGTTGCTGCAATGTGACCATCTTGGCGAATTATATCGCAAAAGTGTTGCGTATTCCAGTTCATTCGGTAAAGCAGCTCACTCATTTGGTTCACTTTAACTCCAATTGGAAAATGCCATTTGGATGCAGTATTTCTGGTGTTGCGTATGCCAGTTGGCTTGAGCGAGTTCTTATTAGGTGGCAATTAAAATGTACATATGCATTTACCGATTAACTAAAACAAAACTATGTTCAAACTGACAAGTATTAAACATTATTAAATAGTGCTCATTGCATATACTAGCTCATTTAAATGCAGTTCAGGTTCCGACACCCTCGCCTAGTTCCGATAGGCGCTTCGCTTCTATCGAACTTGTTCAGAGCCGAACTACACAACGTCAACAAAAAAAAAAAAAGGAAAAAGAAACGCCTACGCCGGCTTTTCGTACGTGAATAAAACCAAGTTAATTTCGTGCGCAGCAAAATGCTTGAGACACTGTACAACCTGCCATTCCACATACTCGTGCCGCCCAACATCAAGGTGCGACGCATTTCCATACCCATGCCCTCGCCCATGGCCGTGTTTTCGGTTGTGCTGCTCTCCTATTTTCTGGTCACAGGCGGTAGGTGCAAGCGATTAAATGAATGATTACAGTTAAATATATTATGCTTGCAGGTATTATTTACGATGTGATTGTGGAGCCACCGAGCGTGGGCGCGACCGTGGACGAGCACGGACACTCGCGTCCCGTGGCCTTTATGCCATATCGCGTGAATGCCCAATACATTATGGAGGGCCTGGCGAGCAGCTTTCTCTTCACGATTGGCGGCCTGGGCTTCATCATAATGGACCAGACCCATGCGCCGGGCAAAACGAATCTCAATCGACTGCTACTAACGGCCATGGGCTTCATATTCATACTGGTTTCATTCTTTACAACCTGGCTGTTCATGCGCATGAAGCTGCCCAGCTATTTGCAGCCGTAATCCGTGTCTAAACTTAAGCAGCAAAGTATCGTAACTCTCTTATTAGTATTATAACAAGCATTGCACATGCAAATTCTGTGTTCATTTTGATTTGTAACTCACGTACAGCTCACACACACGCAAAAGCTTTGTTGGCCCAAAGCTCTGCGTGGGCAAAGCAAAGCTGTTCAGGCAAAAGCTCACCAATACAATTGCACGCACTTATACCAATGCAGCGCCTAGGCTAGTCCGATTGTTTTGCGTGCATTGCAAACAATTTGTTGGCGTCCCAGTGCCAAAATAGTTTTTTAGTTTGTATTGCGGCGCCCGAGCGTGCACAGCGATCGCGTTGAAAACATATATTCTATATATAGACATATAGAAAATCTATTTTGGTTAACAAGAATATTTGCCAAACGGCCAGAAAAACCAAGTCAAATAGAACGCAGTTAAATCGAAATCAAATTCAAATATCCAACTGTCTAACGAAACATTGGGAGCATTTATTAAGTCCCAGCAACTGCTGTTCCAAGTGATGTAACAGACTCTGACTCGCCCAGAGACGAGAGCGACAACTGATTGAAGAAACAGCAGATTTGGCAACTGCGTCGCAGTTTGTTTACAAAACAATTCGTTGTCCATTCGAAGAGCAAATGTCCAAAAAGTGCAGCGTACGCTCCTTGAGCGACAGCTGCCTGGCGGAGCTGGCCAATTTGCTGGTGTCCACAATTAGCTATGTACAATATGCGCCCGATGTACATCTGGACATGAGCATTGTGATGGTCGAGCTGAATGAGTATCTGGCGCAGGCGGGCGCCACATCCAATATCTATCAGGATCTGTTGCGCGTGATACTCAGCTCGGATTATCTGGAGGCCAATATGCGTTTCATTTGCCTGCAAATGCTGCTCAATTGTGGCGTACATTTTCTGGTCACCGAGGTCTTTCCGCCCAGCTACTATGAGAAGATTCTGCAGGTGATTGCCGCCCAGGGCGCCGGACTGCGTGTCCTCAATCTGAAGGGCATTTGGGTGAAGGACGATCACATGCACTACATGTACGAGATAGTGCGGCGTTGCAAGCAGCTCATCAAGCTCTATGTGCCGTATATAGCCAACGATCAGCTGCTGGAGGAGATTGCCGCCAATTGCACACGCCTGCAAATATTGGACATATCGGGCGAAACGGACATCACAGAGATTGGCATCGATTGTCTGGCCAAGGGCGCCTGCGCACAGTCGCTGACAATTGTCGACGTGGGCATGCCCGGCGAGGAGAACATATGCTATTCGGACATAGCGCTAATACTGGAGAATTGCCATCATGTGGAGACGCTGTCCACCTATTCGTTTGTGGGCGCAGCGCTCAAGTTCATACACGATCACATCGACAACAGCTTCCGGTGCCGCCTGAAATATGCCCATGACACGGCCACGGATGAGGACACGCTGAATGTCATGCTGCAGACGTGTCCACAGCTGGAGACACTCTATCTGGACTCGCCCAAGCTGGGCGCATTGCGCGCCCTGCAGACGTGCACGTTGCGCAAACTCAAGATATGCAAATTTATTGTCGCCGAGCTGCTGTCGCTGTTGGAGCGTCCGATTGGACGCAATTTGCGGCATCTGACCATGATCAAGGGCACCGGCAATCTGGAGCTGGGCAAATTGGCCCGCCTCTGTCCCACACTCATCGATTTGGATTGCTATGTGATCGAGAGCCTGTCGTATGCCCAGACCCAGGCGCGTTTCCAGCAGCTGGAGAGCCTCGAGATACTCAGCTGCGATATGCTGACCAGCTCCCTGAAGGCGTTCCTCTGCACAACGACAGACCTGAAGCGTCTCGCCGTGGATTCCGTGGACTTTAACGATGACGATATTGTTAGGTACGGTATGTTGCATACAAAATCTTATTCATATCCTAATATATACATTCCTGTATAGCATGTTTGTGCAGCACGATTTCAAGGTGCTGGAGGATATTTGGTTTACGCTGGCGCCAGAGCTCACTGTACAGGCCGTGGAGGTGCGTACTCCAGACTAAACATTCGTCAATTGATCTTCTTCTTCTACTTCTTCTTTTCCTTCTTCTTGTTGTTGTTATGTGTGTTGCAGCTTCTTATGGACAGCTGCCCGGAGCTGCAGTCTGTCGGCCAATTGACCGGCTGGTCGCTGTCGCCGGATGATTTGTCGTTGATTCGCGGTCTGCTTAAAAGCGGCAATTCGAGCCTTGTGCTGACTTCCAACGGTTTATTGGCTTGAAAACTAATAATAATAATAATAATTTGTAGTGCAGTGTATTTGCTGCCTATTAAAATGTCTTACACTGTTTGCAAATCAGCTGAATTTCTACTTTTTGCAGCGCTAGCTAGCTGGAGCAAAAATATTTGTATAATATAATAATTATCTATTTGAATCTTGTAATTTGCTTTGTGATATTAAACTTATAAAACTTTGCTGTATTTAAATTTCGAAAGCAGTTTGTACGACCGAGTGTGACCAAGTTTTGCGCAAACGGTATTTTTGTTTTCTTGAGTATTTTTTATTGTTTGCTCGCACAGCTGTAGCGCAGGGCTGTCATGACAGCACACTTATTTATATGCGTTTTTCGTAAAACATTTATGACTTAAAAGCATGCCAAAACATTACACTCAAAGCAATTTTAGTAAAAAGCACTTTTCTTATATTTTGTATTCAGCTCATCACGCAGCCAGCTGTTTAATTAAATGCAGCTTGTGCCAGTTGCGCCACTCGACAACCCTGCGCACGACATATACTTTTCATGCGCACAAAAAAAAAAAAAAGTGGCGAAAAAAACGCAGCTAAGAATTTTGCAATAGTCGCAAGCAAGAATTTATCAACGAATCTCATGTTAGTCTAGTTAATAAACAATCGCATTTAAACATAAACAATTGAGTCGCACGCACCGTCGCAAGCGTACGCAGTGACATTCAATGAAAACTATGAAAAATTATAAAAACAAAAAGAAACAACTTCCGCAGACGTCAGCAGCAGCAGCAGCAGCGCCCCAGCAGAAGCAGCAGCAGCAGCAGCAACCACATCAAATTTATTAAAAGGCAGCAAAAAAAAAAAAAAAAAAAAAATCTCAAGCAGCGTTTTCAATATGCAAAACGAATCTCATTGCAACAATCTGTAGCTGTGCGCAGAGTGCGAGGTGGCGTTTCATTTGTTTACTGCGCCTTGCCGTTGTCATGCATTTTGTCACACAACAGCGGCAGCAACAACAACAACAACAACAACAACAACAGCAACAACAACAACAGAAATCAACAGCAGCAGCAACAGCAACAACAACACGCTTTGTGTCCCTTTGCAAATCTTCTAGCCAAGGCGCTCTGCCCAAAACCTTGGCCACCGCGCAAAGTCTGCTCAAGCAATCCTCACAACAACAACAACAACAACAACAACAACCGCAACAACAAAGGCATAAACGCGCCGCTAGCCTCAATCTGCACGCCACGCCCATGTAAGTCTTTAGTAAATGTTGCGCCTTTTGCCCAAAAAAAAATAAAAACATGTTTGTTCTACTTTTACTTGAACTACTTTTAGCTTGAAAGTTAATATATATACATATATATTTACATATGTTTGGTGTAGGTTTTTCTTGCCGATTTGCATGTTTAACAGTTACATTTGCCCGCTCCTAATTTGCATGTCTTCATTTCTTGTTGTTATTCCTTTTTACGCATAGTAAATGCTGCGCGTCGCGTTATCAGTAAAATGGCAAAGAGATAATCCACTTTCAGTGTGTACACATCATATGTTGCATTTCATTTACAATTCCAATTGGTTGAGATAATTTTCAAGGTATACCAATAAGTTGGCTTGCTTCCAATTGGATCGGAGTGGCCTGCAAACATATTTTCAATTAGAAACCAACTGGGAACATCGCAAAATCAACTTTTAGACCTCGTTTGTTTACTAGAATACGTTTATTTCGGTCTTACACAGTTTTCTCTCATCAAACCAAGTTTTTCAAAAGAAATTTCAACTGAAATTTTGATTGTCTGCAGTTCATGTATATCTTCTCCCTTCTTCCTTAAATATCGATAAAAATCAATTTTGGGAAATGGTTATTTGAGCAAAACTCGAGGATTATAAGAGCTAGATATGTAAAACCCGGTATGTTGGTTCTTCTAAAGTATATACAGTTGGCAAATACTTCATTTTTTGAATACCTTTCCTTATTCCGCCAAAATATGGAGAAATAAGAAGAGATCTGTGTACTATAGTCAGTCCCTGAACATTTCACAGAGATCTGACTAAAAATAGCTGAGTTTTGTTAGGAGCGGCTAGTTTGGCCAGAAAGAAGCACATTCAAAGTTGGCTTGTTTGTATGGGTATATTCTAGTCGGGCACTCCCGACACTATTGCTTTAATTTGCGTGTACTTGTGGTTAATCAATTAGTAATTATTCCATGTATTTATGTCTGTGTTTTATGCCACATTTCACGCTTAATTGATAAGCTTTACTCTAAGAAACAGACCTTCTGCTCTTGTTGCTGCACAAGCAGGCAAAGAAATACGTTCCCAGAACTAGAAAGAAAAACAAAAAAAAAAAAGAATTGGCTAAGTAGACTAAATAATGAAAACATAAGTTCCCAACGCAATTTAAAACAATTTCTTAAGATTTATTTAAACGGAAGCATAATTGCGCCGGTTCGATTTTGAGCCCCATCTTTCTCTGTCTTATAAGATATCGTTGTTTTTTTATCACAAAAAAAAACAGGCAAAACAGTTGTCCAAAATTAGCAACAAAAAGAGAACGTTTATCTTAGGCAGCATCAAGTTTTAATAAGCTGGTAGAATTATGGTTTATGGCTTTGCACGAGTTTGTGGCAGATATCTGAAGAGATAGCAACCATATATATATATTCCTACTGATTCTTTTCATAAAGCCAGATGCCATGGGTAGAGCTCGTAAATGGCAAGTTAAGTTAAGATTTTGTCCAAGTCCACAGACGAATCTAAGCCAAGTTCAATGAAAATTGTCTTGAATTGAAACTGGACTTGGAATTTGATTATAGAAACACGGCTCATCTAAACTATAAACCCTATAAACCTAAAACAAGACCTATTTGTAATACCCTCGAAAGCGTAAACAGAGTTGCGCAAAAGTTGCGTTGCGTTGCGCGAAATTTGCATAAAACTTTGCCAAAAGCGTTCAGCGAAGCGTACAAAACACAATCTCCATAGCCGACTCTTGCACTCGCAGATATATATTATATATATATACATACATGTATAGTTGTCATTGTTGTTATTTTATTTTGCCGGTCTTAGTCGGGCAATTCACGGCGCGTTTTTCGAGTGCAAATTCAAACGTCGCGCTGAAATGACGTTCGCGCTCGCTTCCAGCTCCGGACATCGCGTGAGCAGACAACAATAGTAAAATAAAAAAAAGAATAATAAAATTAATTAAATAATTAACGAGAGTAGGGCCTGACTGCTCCACATAATATTATAAATGGCGCCCATTTGCCAAATGCTAAATGTGCTAAAAATAAAAGAAAAGCCATCTTTCGGCCCGTGCCGTCCCGTCGCCTTCTCTCTAGTGCTTGTGCTGTGTTTCGTCATCGTTTTTCCAATGATGACATACTTTGAGTGACCCGTCGTGCCTGACCCACAATAAAAACAATAATATTGGCAACAACAATTGCTTCTGAATCAACTAAATAAACAGCGCGACAAAAGAGGAAAAACACAAAAAAAAATGTAAGTTTTCGTTTTGTTTTTCTATACCAGATTGTTACCCCTTGAAAATGGCTAGAAAGGGCATTTTGTTTATGTGCAAGGGTTTGTAACAGGCATACGAAAGCATATGTATGTCTATATATATATATCTGAATCTGGATATATCCGCCTGTCCGTCCGAGCGAAGCACTATTAATAGAGACTCGGCTTAAGCTTTGCTTCTTCATTCTATCGATAAAAATCGATTTTAAGAGCAATTGGAGATTTGAAATGTGCTTTTTTCGATTTCTCGATTAAAACTATCGATTAAAGCGATTATAAAAAAAAAACTAAACAATTTAAATGTGATTATCAATATTACGATAAAATAGATTTGGGAAAAACAACAGACTTGTTTTTTGACTAGCATTACTTTTTCGACATCTCGCTTCATTCTAATTTGGATTTTGATAAAAAATAATTATCGATATCTGCGATATTTTGCATTACCAAGAATCGATATCAATCGTATTTGTTAAATCTTAAACTGAAATTCTCTTTGATAGTGCAGCCCATTCTCATAATTTAGTAATCGATAACAAACGAAATATCTAATTTTATAATATTGATTAAAAATTGGGTTTGTACAAAGCTAGATTCCCGAAATACGGCTTATACTTCTGCTGCGATGTATAATCTTATTTTTTTTTAATGGAATAATCGATGAAAATCGATTTGAAGAAATTTAAGAGAAAAACTAGAAAAATTAAATTTGACTTTATCGTTGTTTTTCTCGATATTTCGTAACGTCTTTATGGTATAACAAAATCCTTAAAATCTGACATTTAATGCGCGAAAATTTCATAAAGATCGGACTCTGAGCACCGAGTTGTTTGCGAGGACGCAGTAAACGGCAGCTAGACTTCTGCTTGAAGATATATAACTTGCCATTGGTTGGCGCTGAAGAAGAAGAAAACAAAGTGGCTTTTTGTAGCTGCTCAAACTTGAGCTTTAGGGTATCTGCTAGTCGTGCTCGTTCGATGTGAGCGCTGCGGACGTTTTTTGTTAGTTTTATTTGTATTGATTTTTAATTTTTCTTTTCCTTATATATACAATATTTTTTTTTTTTTGCTAGAACTGGTTTTTGTTGTTGTGCGGGCAGGTTATTTACCGTTAACCGTTAAGTTTTAGTTTCTTCTTGGTTTTTTTTGGGGGGTGTCCGACTCGCCCCCCCCCCCCCCCCCCTCCCCCGCTCGCAGCACAACTTATCCGTGTCTCCATCTCGATTTCCAATTAGCTCTAACCATATAATCTTTATGCTTATTAATTGTAATTGTTGTCAGTTGTCGTTGCGCGCATGTTGTCTCACCTTTGAGATACGCCACACCCTCCTGCACTGCGCCCCTGCCCCTGCCCCTTGTTACCTCCACTCGGAGTTCAGACAAAGGTTATCTGAGCTGAGTTCTAACAAGTTCTGGCGGTGAGTTCTTGATTGCCTTTCCATATTTCTATCTACAAAAAAAAAAATAATACTTTTACGAATTCCGAAACTTGTTTTTGTCATCAAATTTTGTTTTCGTATTTATATTTTTCTTTCTATAAATTCTCGCAGCATTTCCTGTTGTTAGTTAGAGCAACAATTTCTTTTTTATATAGCTCTTAAAAGAGTTTTGTTCTTAAAGCAAATTTATTGATTTTTGTATGGAATTTTGCACAGTGTAGCGCATTAAAGCAGATATACATAGTCTATATATACATATATATATATTCTTGTTCAGCTTCAATTGCGGATGTCAATATATTTATATATCTCCCATTCACAATTATTTAATTGTTATGTTAAAATCCATGTTGTTTAGTTGAGATCAGAGTACTATAACATAAAAGTGCATAAGTTTTGTAAGGGTATTTACTGATCGGTGCAACGTAGATGCATTTTTTCTTCCTTTCTGTAGCCTTTCAGAAGTTAAAGTATGTATAAGTATATTGATTATTCTATAAAGATTATTCTTTGGTCAAAAAGTTTCTTAATCTTAAAACTATATTCATATGTTTTTTCAATCGTAAAAGGAATTGGAAATTCTCGACTAGCTTCACTTGTTTTAATTTGAAAAGCCTTTATATAGAATCGATATCTTACACTTTTTTACTATATAGCTTATATATATATTCCTTTAAAATAGATTATATATATATATATACTATATTATATAGCTTCTAGGCTAGACTCTTCGCCAGCTTTATCTTCATTATAAGTCAAAAACTTATTAGAAAATGGAGCTGCAATGGAATGCATTTTATGCCCCGAATTATCGGCGGAAATCTTCTGTTGATTTAGCTATTTTCCCTCTACAACTAGCTGGAACCTCTTCAGACTTAGCAGTTGTACGTTTTATTAGAACTTTAAAAATTACTTAAGATCGAATGTCTTTAAGAGTATGCAATCTTCGACTTTGTGTGCTGAAATTCTGCCGCAACAAATTATCTAAATAGCTTGTGAACACAATGTTTGCAGCTGATAAGCAATTTTTTGTTGTATTCTTTTGAAAAGTTTGTTTATAATTTTAGCAGCTGTTGTTTAAGGGTCGATTCTCTACTCGAAGTCTCAGCTAGCAATAGAGAGTGGAAATTTGTCTGGCTCGTGTATGACTTGTCAAGGGTATTATGATTCTTTCATGAAGTTTGTAACGCACAGAAGGAGAGATCTTCACGCCCGTAGAGTATATTTATATTCCAGAGACAAGCTTCACTATTCTGCTTTTAAGCGTATTAAGACTTCGGCATGCCGTTTCTCGTTTAGTTTTTATACTCATTTGAGCTTTCATCAAATGAATTTGCACTCAAGCATTTGTGCAGCTATCATCAAATAATGCCAGCTGGCATCTAAATTGAATGCCCCCAAACCCAACCCCAACCCCATGTAACAAAGTCAATTAAGAAGACAAAAAAACAATGAAAAATACTGGAAATTGGTTTTCATTTAAACCCAGAGAAATCAAATCATATTGTGGAGTAGTAAAAAAAAATAAACATTAAAAATCATTTGAATTATTTTGCCTTAAGCAAAAGCCAATAGAAATTTAGTCAATCCTTCATAATGTGTAATTTTAATGGATAGTCGTTAGCAACAATTTTATTAAACAAATTGGCAAAACACAAAATTCCGTTTGCTGTTTTACTATTATTATAATTTCTGTTGACTTGACACAGCTGTTCTATGCCCCGATATTGTGCGGCAAATACATTTTATTTGCCCGAAGTCGCTTCTGGCTGAAGATAAAACAATGAGTTTCATTTAATGGGCACACATTAGTTAACACAATTGTTTAATTAAAAACAATTTGTACTCGTTCAACAATTTGCACAATATGTTCTTCTCTTAAAATTCCCAAACAGTTTTAGCTGATATGCTACTGAGTTCCTCAAATGCATTAAGTTAAATTTAGCCGCACATTTTATGGCGCAAAGTAATTGGGTTACTCTTTATGCCCTTCTAGCGGTTCTAGCTTAAGCTTGTGACTGAGTTTGTAATGCATCTGCACATATTGTCTGCTATTTTGGGACTTGCACTTAATTTTCATGAGTTTCCCCATTCGGAAAACACCTGTTTGGCAAGTATTTAATGCGTTTTGGTTTGTAAGCAACCAACGAGGCTGTTAAATGGCCGTGCTGTCATTAGAGTAAGAACCAAAAATGTATAGAACACAAGTATGAATGCTCTAGGCGAGAATGCCCGACTAGGGAATACCCTGTACCTTCTTCACCCAGGAATTAATGATCCCTAATCTGAATATATATTATTCTAGAAACTACATCTTAAATCTGGCGACTTGTAGCATTCAAAACTAAAAAAAATTGGCTCAAGATTTCGATAACAATTGCTTGGAAATGGCGCTAGTTATCGATTATCGGAAACGAGCACTCGAAGGAAATGCGTTCCCAAGTCTCTCGAACTCTGCTAGTTTCTGAGCTCGAAGCTATATCGTCGCGGCTGTGGACCCTTTTCACATAACCCTTTCTATCCATTTTCAATGAGCTATGGAGCATAAAAATCTGTATTGTTTCGGTATTCAGTTGGATCCGTCGATTTGTGTATTAAAGGCCAAACAGAAAATAAGCAAACGTGTGGCTGTAAAAGGGAAGATATCTTATCGCGCTTATCGGACAGACGAGTTTACTTACTTAGTTGTTGCTTTGGTAACTGAGCGAATAATAAAGCTAAAATATGCTACAATAAAAAAACTGTGTGTGGGCGCGTATTGTTGTATATAAGTACATATATTGTTAAGTGATTATCAACAATGTTATCGATTGGCAATTATTATTAAGACTTCATTCCCAGTTCACATTTCGAGCGGTTAACAGTTGGATTAAACAGTTTAGATGGGAAAAATATCAGAGCCCTATGTTGTTTGGTAAGGGCTATACAAAATAAATCAAACAAAATAAATAAAAAGCGAATAATTGTGGAATTCGCTCGAATTCCTTTTGCAGATGCGTGAGAATAGTGAAGTTCGTATATGCTGAGCTTGAAATGAAAGAATCTTGTAGGAGAGACTTTTACATAGAAGAAACTATTTCGCGAGAGATCGTATGATAAGGTTGTTCGAAGTTTCAGCAAAAACCTACTTTCGATAGATGACAAATATTTGATATAGTGATCCGATACGCACAGATCCAACATCCAACAAGAGACTAGTTTGCATTCAAATAGATGGACAGTTGGATATAGCTTTATTATAGAATATATATCGGATCGGAGATTTCATTCATGACAAAATCCTAATACCCTCTGCAAGGGTATAAACCTCCAGTTAACGTATATAAATTAAATCCAGTTTGTATGAGTTGCTTTCTGGAATAGTTTTGTATTTTTTCAGTGTTGGATATTGTATAAAAAATTAGCTGATCGATAGGTTTCTTTAAATGTATAGAAAGAGTAAGCAAGAGAGAGAGAGAGAGAGAGGGGTAGAGTGTGAACAAAGAGCGCATGTTTTTATTTTTGTATTGGTTTTTTCCTCTTTGTTTTATTTCCATATGCAATTTTATTGTAGGATTAAAGATATTGAAATAAACACAACAACAACAACAACAACAGCAGCAGCAGCAGCAGCAGCAACAACAGCTGCAGCTGCAGCAGCAGCAGCAGCAGCAGTTGAAGCAACTGCTACTGCTGCGTGCAGCATTGAGCCTACCCATGCCACAAACATGATTTGTGATGCAAAAGAAGAACAGCAGCAACAGCAGCAGCAGCAACAGCAACTGCAGCAACAGCAACAGCAACCTGAACTGCAGCAGCAGCAATCACTGGAACAGCAGCAGCAGCAGCAGCTGGAAGCTGAGCCGGATGAGAAATGTACACAAAGTATACACAATAATGGCGACAGGTAGGTCGAAAAGCGCAACTCTGGCCTGGTCTAAAACAAATGGCAAAAAAAAATAAGAGAGAAGAGAGCGTTAAGTATAACCCGCATTAGTTGGCTAATGTACAAAATTTGCATGTCTTTAGCGCAAGCACTTTAAATTTGAATGCATGCCATATAATATATATACACACTCCATAGATATTGCTGCGCCTTTTGAACAAGCTGGCTATTCACAGTTTTCTCTCTTGTTTTAGGCGCGATTCGATCAGCGATGACAACACAATCAACAGCAGCACATTAAACAGCAAACTATTGACCATACAGGAGGCCGCCGGCACCATCGAGCGCAGCAGCATTTCGCTAGCCACAGCCTTGACTACGGCACAGACCACTTCCGTTTCCGTTTGCACAGCATCCGTCATCTGTCATGAGGCGCTCAGCAGCGTCAGCGGCGGCGGCGGCGGTGGCGTCGCCAGCATCAGCAGCAGCAGCAGCAGCAGTAACAGCGGCAGCCATCACAACGTAGCGCCCGGCAGCAGCATACACAGCAGTCCACAGGCGAACACGCCCAGCATAAGCATCGCTGCAGCCGAGTCCAAGGACCAATCGCAGCCGGCGCAATCGCATAGCGTTGATTCGAATGGTCAGCCGAGCGGCTCCTGCACGGACAGTCCCAGCAGTCGCAAGAGCTCAACTAGCTCCAAGGGCAAACCAGCCAAGTTATCCACGTCGAGCAGTGGACGCGATGAGGTGAGTCTTCATGCAACAGCTTTAAGGCCACAAAAATGTTTACATTTTGTTTATATTGTCTTTGGTTTTATTCCACAAGTTGCTTTCTTGTCATTTTAATATGCTTCATTAGTTGAACTAGTTCAATTTTGAAATCAAATACGCTTTCTTTTAGTTATTAAACTATATTTTTCAACTCTATATGGCTCACAAATAGTTCGTTAAGAGTATAATTAAATGTTCAAAACCAAAATTTTTTAAGTTATGGCGTTTATTTTTATTCAACTAGTTCCTTTCTTGCCAATCTTATGTGCTTCATTAGTTGAACTAGTTCTATTTTTACAAAAACAGGTATAAACAGTTTATTAAAAGAGATTAGTTAATTGTTCGAAACTCAACATTTTTGTGGCAGTTATATAATCAACTAGTTCCCTTCTTGGCATTTTTGTATCACTCATTAAACTAGTTCCAATTGTAAATCAAATAGAATTTCTTGAAGTTAACTGTATTTGTTGACAATTACAAATAGTTCATTAAAAGAGGTCAGTTAAATGTTCAAAAGTTGTTCAACTAGTTCATTTCGTGTCATTCTAATGTGCTTCATTACTTGAACTAGTTCCAATTTGGAATCAAGTCCAATATCTTCCAATAAAAAAGATTTGTTAAATATTCAAAACTAAAGTTCTTTTAAAGTATTTGCTTTCCTACAAAGTGCATCTTTCCCATTGAGTCAAAGCTTTTTTGATGAATTTCTAATTGGCCTTTTGAACCAGCTCGCAGCGCCCGCTTCTTAAATGTCTATAAATTAACATATTAATGTAGATTTTCTATAGGGTCTGAACGCATATTTTTTTGCATACAAAACGTAGCTATTTGCGTTTTAGTTCAATTATTATGCATATTTTAACTGGCCTTTTGAACCAGCTCGTTGAGTTAGTTTATGCTTTGTTTGTATTAATTGCGTAAAGTAATTGCATTAAATATTATTAATTAACCTTTTTGAACCGGTTTGTTGAGCTAGTTTACACTCTTTAGTGCACCTAACTAATGCATCGACTATTTTTCGATTGACCTTTTGAACCAGTTCGTTGAGTTTTTTTTCTTTTTACGCATTAAATATACTTCGATTCACCTTTCGAACCAGTTCATTGAACTACTTTATTCATTCCTTTCCTGCATCAAATACCGTTCGAAGCAATCTATCGAACTACTTTAATCTTTTTGTGCTTTAAATATTTTTCGAATAATCTTTTGAACCAGTTCATTAAACTTCTTTATTCGTTATCTTCCTTTTTCACATTAAATGAACGAATATTTATTTTGCCTTTTGAACTAGTGCTAGTTCGTTTCGTGTTTTCTAAACTAGAGCTTTTTAATTTTTGTTCCCAATTTAGAAAGTTCCTAACTCATGCTTTTGATAGTTAAGAACTAGTTCCTTTGGCATTATTTTTTTTAATATTCCCATGCTATAGTTTTAAACTCAACTTCCCAATTTCATTAACGTTAGTTTTTTATATATATTTTTTTACTGTGAACTAGTTTGTTTTCCAAAGCTCGGTTGTGCCTTTTCAAGCTATACTGTGACCAACTTTTGGCCCTAAAAGTCGTCATGCTGTCGTAAACTTTTAAGCTGGATCTTGATTCCATAAACAATTTTTACTGGTTTCTCTATTAATTGTTGTCAAGCACCCACATTTTTTTTTATTATTAACGTGTGTTGCCTTCAAAAACTCTCTTAAATCTCGCTGCGCTCTCTGCCAAATGCTTGATAGTTCTTTTCGGTTCTCACTGTCATTACGAGAAAGCTCGTGAGCTTTTATTATTAATGAGTTCTGCTCATTAGCACGTCACAATTCGCAGAAACCCAAAACACGAATACAGCAGAACTGAATATCAAAACAGATGCTAGGCAAGTGCCGATAATGGTACTGAGCGCTAGATAATGAACTGGGACGCCAGATATCAAATGGATTATTTCAAAACCCGTTGAGTTATTAGCCTTATCGATTTATGTGTGTGTGCAGTAAATGCTCCACTTTTCGACTAGTTCAATTCCACGGGCAAGAGAAACACTGTGTGGCCACTCGCTGATTAGAAATACCCTTTAAAATAAGCACAAACATGAGCTTGACGGGAGTGCTTAGCTAGCGGATACTCTGTACATTTTTTATATATATTTTTTTATTTTTTATTAATTATTTATTTTTTTTTTATATATTTAACTATTATTTATTGCTTATTAAGTTATATATATTAGTTTCCATTTCTATTATTTTGCAAGTATTTACTTTATAATTTTTTATAATCGATCAAGTAAAATAGCTATTGCGTTAGTTGATCGCGTCGTGGTTGCCGCCCTTACAAGTTTTACAGGGTATACAATAAAAAAGCTCATGGCACCCTAAAAATTGATTGGTCAAAGCTTTACCACATTGATAAGGCTGATATTGTGCCTGTGTAGCGTTTGGGTTTCTCTGCAAATTAGAATTCAATGTGCGGCGCGAGACGACGACGACGACGCAGCGCTCGAATATTGTGCGGATCGATCGCGTTAGATTATACAACGTTCGGTTCTGACCAAATAACTAAATATTATTAATGAGAAGCCAGCGTAAAGCTTGGTGTCCCCTTTCTGTGCTCCGATAAGCGAAAACGCAACACCTGCCACAACTTGCCTCGACACACAGTATGATTCACACACATATATCTATGACTAATGCCACTCAAACAAATACTTACAGGATGCACAGGGCAAACTAAGCGAATCCGCGAGCACCGACAGCGTTCTATTACGCGGAGATAACAACAGCACCACATCTAATGAGAAGCCCAGCAAGGGCACTTCCCGACTCTCCGAGCGCGCCAAGAAGAAGTCCTGGTACAACGTCATCTATCCGAATTATAAATCACGCGCCGAGGACTTCAAAAAACTGTTCAAAGATGTGCCCAACGATGAGCGTCTAATTGTGGGTGAGTGTATATGTATTTGAGTGTGAGATATGATCTATGATGCATGATGTATGATGCATGATGTATGATGTATGATGCATGATGTATGATGTGAGATATATCATGTATGATGTATGATGTACAATATATGAGGTAGAATATATGGAGGTATGATATAAGTGCATAATGTATGATGTATATGTACGATGTATCGTGTATGATGCATGTTCTATGTTGTACGATATATGATGTACGACGTACAATGTACCATGTATACTCTATAATGTATGATATACTTATGATGCATATATGATGTAAAACTCAGTGAAATCTCATACGATTTTTACTAGGTTTGGCTTTTTGTTCATTGTTTAGCCTCTAGATCAATTTGGCAACTTTGTAATTGGTTAAAATTCATCTAAAAATAGTAACCTTATATATCCTAAATAGAAATAGTTAAAAATTTCCCACCCTCATAACTCGGTCAAATCTCATTCGATTTTCACGAGATTCGACTCTAGATCAATTTGGCATCTAAATAATCTGGCAACATTAGCTTTAGCTTTTTGAAAAGTCATTAAAGAACCTGATCTATATTGTAGCTCGCTTAGGGCTAGATAAGAGATGTGTACGGCAATATTATCAAACAATATAAATGTCAAGTGTTTACACTTCTTTCGCGCGGCTATTTTGAGGAATATTTCGATTCTTGAATTCATGTACGACACAAAAGAACTCTATTACCAAATAAACTTAATGTAGCTTGGTTTAAAGATCACTTATGTTAAGAAATTAAAAGTTCCCCTTAACTCTACTGCCATGCCCTCAAGAAGGGCGTTGTCAAGGGCTTTAAAGCTAGAAATTTCTGCTATAATATAGTTACTTATGCGCGTTATAATTCTCAACTTGTTTATTGCTTACAGACTACTCGTGCGCGCTGCAACGGGATATATTGGTGCAGGGTCGTTTGTACGTGTCCCAGAATTATGTGTGTTTCCATGCGAACATCTTTAGCTGGGAAACGTATGTGAGCATCAAATGGAAGGATGTGACAGCAATTACGAAAGAGAAAACAGCGCTCGTGATACCGAATGCGATTACAATATCTACCGCCAGGGAGAAGTATTTTTTTGCGACATTCGCGTCGCGTGACAAGTCGTATTTGATGCTCTTTCGTGTCTGGCAGAACACATTGTTGAACAAACAGTTCTCACAGCAGGAGATCTGGCGTTACGTGCACAATTGCTACGGCGATGAATTGGGCCTGACCACAGACGATGAGGACTATATAGATCCCACGCTGGACGCGGCCGATACAGAAACCGATGGTGACTTTCAAACGGCCCTTGACGATCTCGGCGGCGATCAGAGCAATTCCAGTCAGTGCACCAACAATTCGGGCCAGCAGCAGCAGCAGCAGCAGCTGCAGCAACAGAGCGGCAACAGCAGCGCCAGCAGCGGCGGCGGCAGCGCAGCAGCTGTACGCAAATCGAAGACGAAATATTTCTTTAACTCAAGCAAATCGTCAAATTTAAACTCATCGGCCAACGCATCGGCCAGTGGCTCGGATAATAAAGCCAGCGACAATACGCGTAAATCAAATAAGAAAATGAAGGCCAATGCCAAAGAGCTGACACTCAGCTCCGTCAAGGCAACGGAGCAATCGGTGGCCGTCACACTCAGCGTGCCCAGCACCAACAGCGGCCCAACCACCGCCACCAACACCAACAGCAACAGCAACACCACCAATACAAACACCACCAGCAGCAGCACCACAGCCACTGCCACCACCACCAGCAGCAGCAGCAACAACAACAACAACAGCAGCAGCAACAGCAGCTCAGCGATGGCCACCACAACGGCAACAACCACTACAGCCAGTGGTGGCATTGTCGGTGGTGCTGGCGGCGACAGAAGAGCCGAAAAGATCAACAGCAGCAGTGCGGCAAACGCAACTGCAGCCGAACCCCAGAGTCATGGCTCCGATGTCAAGCGCAAAGTTGGCAAAAATCAGCGACAACGCGATGATTTGGCGGCCAAAAATGCCGAGGCTGGGCCCACAGATGTCTCGGACTCTTCCGATTCCGAGGAGAACAATGTGCCGTAAGTGTAAAAAGGGTTTTTAGGCTCGTAACTGAAACTTATTAAATGCATTTGCTTTATGACAGCTTTGTGCCGAGTACGGAGTGCACATCGACGCACGAGGGCCGCCAAATAGTGCACACAATTCTGCCCATACGCGTGGATACTCTGTTCAATTTTCTGTTCTCAAAGTCGAAATTCCTAACGGACTTTCACGAGCTGCGCAAATCGACCGATCTGTCCATGGGCGAGTGGCATAAAAATGATGAGGGCCAGAATGTGCGGCTGGTAAACGTGACCGTGCAACTGGCCGCCTCGGTGGGCCCAAAAACCTCAAAGGTGGGCGAACAGAACCAGAACTTCAACATGTATTATTTTATATTAATTGCTTGTTTTGTGCAGGTCACCGAATATCAAACGATGCGCGAGTGCAGCAAGCCGGGTGAACTGTATTCGATAGACGTGAACAGCGTCAACGCGGGCATACCATATGCGGACAGTTTCAGTGTGCTCATACACTTCTGTCTGGCGCGGTAAGTGGCAAAAGGATATTTCAGTTGCCAGAAACATATCGAAAGTTATGTACTCTATCTGTATTGTTAGCACTGTGGATGATCATACGATGTTGTCGGTGCATGCGCAAATCAAATATAAAAAGTCCATTTGGGGCGTTGTCAAGGGCTTCATTGAGAAGAATACGTGGGCGGGCCTGGAGGATTTCTTTGGTGCGCAGCTGCATGCGCTGCAGAGCGAGACCTGCATACCGCCGGCCAAGGGCAAGGGCAGGCGTCCCAGACGTGGTAAGCATTTAGACATTAGCTTTAGCAACAGCAACAACAACAACAACAACAATAGCAACAACAAACAGCAATGCAATAATGTACATGATAAACAAATGCTATTTAATACGAATACAAATACACTTGCAATGCCAAAATGCAATTGCAATTGCTTTTTCTAACCACACAAAATGCACGCACAAACCACAAGAACAACAGCAACTAGAACAATTCGCATGCCCAGCTGCAAACTAGCTACAACAACCACACACAGGCCCCAAACAGCGACAATTGATTGCGGCAGCAACACCAACAACAACGACAACAGCAAGCAGCACGGACAATGACAGCGTACAAGCGACTTGTCATCAACATTCACATCCACATCATCATCATCATCATCAACATCCTCCGCATCATCATCATCATCATCAACATCCTCCGCATCATCATACGCATCACCAGCATCAACGCCAACAGCCACAGCAGCAACAGCAACAGTTGCCGCCGCCGCATCAGCAACATTTGCAAACTCATCCGCAGCAACAAATTTGTCAACATCTCGTAAGGCCAAATTGCACACATGTCAAGGTATATAGCGTATCTATGGCGCTAAGCAACCCCATAAAGCAAAAGCGATTGTCATCAGCTAATTGCGCTGTGAACCATTCAACAATAACCAGACATTTGTTAGCCTTTGATTAATAACTAAAGCTTTTTATAAGTTCGATTTTATAGAAGTGAAGTTTCATCAGTTTTGATATAGAACTATTTTAAGCACGAAGTTTAATTAATGAATCGTTTAAGCTTGGCAGACACCTTCTGTTTTTCTCAAAAAGTGGTTTCAATATCGCGTGTCTAATTAACGATCCCATAGAAGGTGCCTTTCCAATTGTCCTAATCCGCAATCAACTCTGTCAGCCGGAAGAAATAGTTGCATATATAGAGTTTTTCTTAGCTTGGGATATTTAATGCTCCATTTGATTTCAATATTTGTGCTCGCAAAACTTGGCTGTGGCAATCGCTTTGTGCATCGTTTTGCTTGAGATGCTGCAATTGATTATTTTATTTTTATATTTTTGATCCTTAGTCCATTTGCATGTTAACACTTGTTGTATCCAATTTATTTGTTGCATTCGAACGTTGTGTTTTTGTTGCTGTAGCCGCAGATATAACCCAATTTTGTTATTTAATTGTTTTTGTTTTGTTTTTTTTAATAATTCTTCATTTTTTTTTTGCCATTTGCTGGGCTGTTGCGATTTGCAGGTACCTCCACACAAGCGCGCCCCATGGAGGAAGCAGCCGGCGGCGCCGCACAGAGTGGCCTGGCCGAATCGCTAGACAATTGGGAGACAAAAATGTTGTCCGCTGGCGGCGTTGGCGCTGGCACCGCGGCTGGCCTACTGGCACATGGCGCTGCTGGTGGCGGCGGTGGGGCCGGCAGCCGACAGCAGCAGCTGTTGCTGGCCGCGCAGCAGCAGCAGCAACAGTTGCTGGCGGGCGGCCATCAGCTGGGCCAGGGCCAGGACAGATTCAGACACAGGAGCCTGTCGCTGTTCGTTATATTGTTAATGTGCTTGCTGCTGGCATTAAATGTGATATTATTACTTAAGCTCTGGAAGCTGGAGGAACACATTGACGTCGATCTCAGCCGGCGCGCCCGCATGCCCAGTTTGGCAGCCCTCAAGTGAGTGCGAAACAATTTAAAAACCAACTCAACAAGTGTTTAATCTATATGTTTTGCAGAGAACTACCCAATACGAATCAAGATTGGCTGGAATTGTTGCGCCAGCAGGAGCTATCGCATGAATCTGAGCTACGCAAATGGCATCAGGTGCTCCAAACGGCCATTGAGCTGCTGAAAAAGGTGAGCATCGTTTGCGAAAAGTTCTACAACGATGCAGAGCTGCGTCAGAGCATTGAGTCTATGCATACGGAATTTTAAGCAGCAAAACAACAAATTGGCCGAGGCCAAGCTAAATTGCAAATTAAATGTAATTCATATTCATTATATGATCTCTCGCGGCTAAGCAAGCAAAACAGCTAAGCAAAAACAAAAGCAAACCAAAGAAATTGTTGCGTGTTCCTTAGTTTTAGGTTTTATATTGTAGTGCGAGCCAGCAAAGCCAACCCCGCCTCCCCTTAGGCTTTCTAATTATATGTGCCGCTAAGTAGTTTAAGATATTAAGACTAGTCAATGTTTATTTAAAGCTTACACTAAATACTCGCAACGCTATTGTAAAACACATATTGAGTTCATTTGGATTCCTTCAAATAGATTTCTACAAACTGCTGTCAGGAAAGCTCAATTTTTTTTAAGCACGTTTAAGTTGGTTTATTTACAACGTTATTTTTTCTACCATTTATTCAGACATTTATAAATGTGTTAAATATTTATAAGTATTCATATTTATTATTTCATTTTTTACTTTGTTGGTTCGTAGTAATATTTATAGTAGCATATTTTATTGGTTTAATATTATTGATATTTTACATTATATTAATTTTGACCAATATTTGATTTTAGCAATCTTACATATAATTTTATTTAGCTTGAATTTTGTATATTAGCACATTTCTTAATTATTTCCTTATTTCTATCTGTCTTAACTTTTGCGCTTTACTTTAATGCGCTTTAAATGCCAACTATAATTATTTGTTAATTTACTTTATGATTTATCTAACAAATTGATTTTGTTTTGTTTTTATTTCAGACTGAAAAGACTTTGGCTGAAGTCATGATACCCTAGGCAGCCCTTTCAGCACAAGAATCCACAACTCACAAGCCAACCCCCCCCCCCCCTTCCCCTCCCTGCACCCCTCTGCAACAACAACAACAACAACAACAACAAATATAAACACAACAATAGTTAGTTCCTGTTGTTAATTCCGAACACACAGCCACCAAAAAATTGAAATTGAATTTCGAAATGTAGTCACAAAACTAGCGAAAAAACTTTGTGTTATATTGGTAAGTTTTTTTTCCAATTTGGCTATAAGTAGTAAAGCTTTTAGTTGCGCCTTTCAGTTAATCTATGTATTTATATATAATGAATTTACATTTTATATTCTAATTTAAGTCTTAATTCATAAATTTGTTTTACGGGCTGCATTTATGTTTATGTCGTTGTTTTAGGCTTTAGAGCCTTCAAACGAATTCTCAAAGTATTTCAAACAAACTTCACTCACACACACACACACACACTCACTCACTCACACACACTCACATACATGCCAGCAACAAAGAAGAAAATTTATGGGTAAGCGCCTTGAATTTTTGTTTTAGAAAATTCACTTCAACAACAACAATTCAATGTGAAACAAAAAACATTTTGCGAGAAAAAAAAAACCCGAAAATAAAAATTTATCTAAATTTTTTGTAATTTTGATATAAATTATACCCCGTTAAGCAAACGAAACTAAAAACAATGCAAAAATATTTGTGCACAATATTTTTGTAAAAAAAAAAACAAAAAAATAATCTATGGAAATCTTTTTCTAAATTTTACTGCGATTTTTCCGTTTTTTTCTTTTGTAAGAACTCTTTAACTCGTTTTTGGCGCCCCGTTTTACAGTCGAAGCAGAAATAACTAAAAAAGAAAAAGAAACTTACAAAACTTGAATAAATGCGTAGCATAATTGATAAAATCGTGTAAAACCCAATGGCTTATTACATATATACACCATATATATATACGAGTACTACTTATAGATCCAAGTATTCTTAGTTTGTAGCTGTTGCATTTTAATGTCGAAACTTGTCGCCGTCACTTTGTGCGAATTCTATGTGAAAAATTAAAAGAAATGAAATGAAAATTATGAAGTGCTAATACATTAAATGTTGGCCGAACTCTACACATAAAATAAACAACAACAAAAATAAATAAAAAAAAAAACTAGGCGTTAAATTTAGGCCGTTGCGAATTGGTTAAAAGAAAACATAATGTTAAGCTGCTGTCTTGAAGAAATTTTAATTTATTATAAAATGAAAAATCAATAAACTACAATGATTATTTAAAAAGTATTAATTTATTCATCTAAGATACAAATATTTTGCGTAATCTATTCAAAGATTTTTATTTAAATTTCAAGTATATGCACAATAATTAATACTATTTAATAATACTAGAATTGCTATCCTCTCTAGTTGATACTCATTAATCGTTATCGATAACTGTGCTAGAGAGTATGCTATGATAATTGTATAGCTCACGGTCGACTTCTCAATTGTTATCGATAACTTTGCTAGAAAGTATGCTACGATAATTAGATAGGACAGTATCGATAACTGTGCTAGATGACAGTGGACATTGATACTCAATTGTTATCGATAATTCATTTGATTAACTGTACTAGAGAGTATGTTATGATAATTGGGCAGGTCTCAGTCGACTCCTCGCTAATTGTTATCGATAACTTTTGCTAGCCTATTAATGTCAAACCGTCGTCGAAAGCCGTTCAATTGACGAAAATAAAATCGATAGTTCGGGCAACTTTTTATTTAATTTAATAATCATCTGTGGTTACTGACATTTTTTTCTTTGTTGTTTAAGCCAAAATGAAAACTTTTCGAAACGCTTGTTCAGATGTTAACCAATAAGGTCCGCTGTTTGAATGTAACTGCAATGGACTCTATTGATTGGCAAATGGAAGCGCTTCAAAAGGCTAAACGAACTTGAGTAAACGGTTTTGCGCGCAACACTTGCAATTTGTAGACTGAAATCGATATAGATCGATATAACTATCGCCTATCAGAGGCGATAATGCACTGCATTGTCAGCTGGCGGCGGGATCTTGCGCTCCTTGCTGGCCGACTTGATGGACAGCTTGGACATGTGCACTCTCAGGCGCGCCTTCGGCCGCACAGCCTCCGAGTTCTTGGCGCGACGCTGTACCTTCGGCTCGTTGGGATTGGCTTTGGCCTTCTCGCGCTTAACGGCCGGCTTGTTGGCCAAACGATTTGTGTTGCGCGGCGAGAGAGCCAATCGCGGACGCTGATTAATCGATTCGCTGCCAGGCGGTGTCTTGTTGACCTTCGGTTTGTTACGCATGCCGGTTCTCTTTTTTGTCGAATTATCCCGACTGCGTGTTGTGTGGTCCGCGACCGACTTTTCCGGCACCGGCAGCGGCTCCGCTGGAGCATTCTTGAGCCGCTTCCGGCTGAAGCCGCTCATCTTCTCCACCAGCTGATTGAGCGTCTCCTTTTTGGCGTGCGACGGCGGCAGAATGTTCGATTTTTTCTTAGTTAAATGCGCGGAGGTCACCACACTGGCGGACATCTTAACCCCGGACTGCATGGGATCCACCGAGAACCTGGTGCGACTGATGCGTGCTCGTGGCTTCTTCGGCTCAATGCTGCTGTCCACGCTTGGCTTTGTCTGCACATCCTGTGTGGGACGCCTGTTCTGCAAGAGATCCCTTTGCTGTTGGCATTCTTCTTTGCGCTGCTGTCGATGGCGCTTCATCAGCATATCATATATGGATACGACAGGTTCCTCCATTTCTCGTCTGGTTTCTCTCTTTCAAATGTAATAAAATAATGGAAATAATGTAAAAAGTTCAAGCGTTTGCTGTTTGTATGAAATGAGAGTCAAGTGAATGTGTTTTGCTGCCTCTCGCAAAGCCCCGACAAAAGCCAAACTAGCAACAAAAGCAAAGGTATAAGTTTTAACTATGAAATCAGTTTTAAAAGATGCCAAAGATGATCATCTATACATTATTAGCTTTATTTACACAATATGGTATATATAAGAAATTATTTATGATCTACTGAATATTCTCTATATAGTCTACAATATATTTTATATATTTCCTGGCTTTTAGACTAGTCTAATATCTTCTAATTCATATTTTTATTCATATATACATTTATTTTATTACATTTATTTTTTATTAGCATATTTATATATATCTAATTTATATATATATATATTTAACTTGTTTTTCAAATCTATAACAATTAGTGCAAAATATCTTTATTTTGGTTTCCGGTTAACTTTTCGTTTCCGGCAAAAATTGCAGCATACTTTTAGGCGACCGCAAAAAAAGCCATACTTTAGACATGTGCTTAAAAATCTAAACGCAAGGAAATGTTAACAAATTTGCGGAAAATATCGCAGATTATCTTTATTTCATATCAAAATGAACTTTGACTTCAGTTTCTAGCGTTAGTTTCATTTTCGTCCCAAGTCCATGAGCTCAATTTCGAGCCAAGATACGGTTTAAGTTCAAGGTCCCGCACACAATCTGCACAAAACTCTTTGTGTCAATTAACGGCAGCAACTGCGGTCAAAGAAAGTGCCCCCCGTCTCTGAGTCAGGGCTTTGCTACGTGTGCGCGTTCCGTGCCAGGCTGCCTGATAAGAGTTCGTTAAACGGCGAAATAATAATAACAACAAAATAAGTGCGCAGATGGTGAGAAAAAAGACATTTCGCAAGCAAGCAGAAAAACATGGACGAAATTTTTGGACAAATTTTTAGCAAGACAATTTGCAAGATATTGAAAATCCAATAAAGTGCGCAAATAAATAACAAAAATGGGCTGTACGTGTGTGTGTGTGTGTGTGTGTGCAGAGCAACGAACGCACAAAAAAAAAAAGAAAGAAAAGAAAGCAAAAACAAAATGTTATCAGCGCAGCCAAAAAAAAAAAAAAAAAAAGCTGAACGACAAATACAAATACACGCACACGCACACTCACACAAGCAAAACCAGCCAAAAGCTGCGTGCGTTGAAATTTCAAGGTTAAGAGCAAGTGCGTGTGGTTTCGCTGAGTGTGTGTGCGTGTGCGTCAGTGCGTGTGCGCATGTATTGGTAGCTTGTTGGCAGCGTCGCGCATTTGCACAGTACGCATAAAAGAGAACAACAAATAGCAACAACAGCAACAACAACAACAGCAAGAAGCAGCACAAAATGCTCGCACACACAATTAGAACGAGAAGGGTGGACAAATATGTGCGTATGGCAAATGTTTATGGCACATGCCATAAAATTAATAGCGCACTTCTTTCGCCTAATTTATCAAACTAAAAATCATCATGATTATCGCAGATCTGTTATAGGCCTCTGGCTTTATCTAGTGGCCACATGCTCGCCATTTATTTTTTTTTTTTTTTTTTTACATTATTTTTATGGGCTTTCACGCACTGAAAGCTTCAAAACAGCTGACACATTTTATAGGCGTCTAGTGTACTTTGTTGTCTTCAGCTCAGGCCTCTTCCTGGTATAACGGTGCACGCACTCACATTGCGTATACGTTGCGCTCTCTGCTGCTGTTGCTATTGTTGTTGTTGTTGCTCTGTTGTCAAGTTTAATGACTGATAAGCTTTAACAGCCGCAGTGCGAACAAAGCTTAACACACGCACAAATATTTCTGGCCTAATGAGCAACATGTTTTGTCTTTATTTAATTTTTTTTTTTTTTTTTTTTTGTAGCAGAACGTATTTGGTTAAATACGTGTATATTTTATTATAATTCTCTAACAACTACTGGAATTTGGCAGCGCCTGCCGGAAATGTTATAGTTAAAATCAAAACGTAACCAAACTTGAAACATGTCAAGCAACATACATACATACATAACTAATTTAAATATTAAACACTAAAATAATAAATTAAAAGCTTTGTCTTTCCAGCCCCATGTACATGTATGTACATAACATTCTGCTAACATAGACAAACGCTCGCCTTAGCGTGGTCAACATTTTGACGCTCAGTGTAATCTTAAGCAAATCTCTATCACCAAGTCAACTTTTTGTTCCAGCCGCTAGACAGTTAATTTTTTTGTTTTTTATTTTTCTTCGTTAAGCCTCATAAAAGCTTTTGTTGCTTTTATCGGTTAAGAGTTAACGAGCTCCACGGTTCACTATCAATGACTGATTACAGAGCGCGCCTAACAGTCGTCACATTACATTGTATGCGGTTAAGCGACGAGCCTTGCTCTTAAGCCGCTTGTAAGCTTACAGCAAAGAGAGAGAGCATAAAATCCACACGCACGTGCAGTGGCTAAAGGCGCCGCAGCGCTGTCTGTGGGGAGACAGAGAGAATGCGCTGTTAAAATTGTCATTCATGCTCGGGCGCGCGCTCTCCCAGACGCCGACTGCGTCGCTTAGCAGCAGCAGCAGCCACCGCAGTCGAAACGGCGTTTAACGGTGATCAGTACGAGATCGAAATCGGCCGCCGTTGGTTGTACGTAATGCGCGTCGCGTTGCTCGTTGTCGTTGTCGTCGTCGTCGTCGTCGTTGCCGTTGCCGTTCAGCTTTCAATTCAGTTAGTCGATCGCCGTCGCAGTAGCAACAACAACATGCACTAAACAAAAAGAAATAAAAAAAAAAAAGAAGAATTTTTTTTACATCTTTTCGTTACGTTTCGTTTCGTTTTCGTTTTCTCATGTTCTGTGTTCCAGTGCCGTGTGGGGCTAAGTGAGTGTTTTCTGCTCAAAATGTTTCAAAATCAAACAAATGCACCAATATAAATAAAGAGAGAAAAAAAATTGAGAAAAAAGTCCTCTCGCAACGTGCTTGTTGTGTGTGCGCGCGCGTGTGTGTGTGTGTGTGCGTGAAGCGCAGCTGATTTTTAAATACGAAATTTTTAATAACGCTCTACCTGCTGCCCGTGCTCCCGCAACCCCACAGCTCGACCTGCTGCAGTTCTACAACGAACGAGATTTAGCGTCAATTTGCCGTTTCGCTGCTTTTGGGTGCGTGTTTTTTTTTTCTTCTCTTTGCTCTGCTCGCTTGTTGTTTTTGCTATGTTTACATTTTATTCTATACACACATGCATACACACACACACACGCACACGCACGCACACAGCTTCACGAAATGTAAACTGACATTTTGCTCTGGCGCTTTGTTTCGCGCGGGCTTATTGACAAATTGTAACTGAAGTAAGGCCCGAGACGCCGCCTGCAGCTCGCCCTCTCTTGCAGCGCTCTCTTTCGCACTCTTTGCTAGACGCGGCTTAGACAGCAAAATAACATAAAAAAAAAAAACAAAAATTGCATTTCATTTCGTTTTTTTTTTTTATTTGGCCGTGCTGCGTATTTCGACAGAAGTTTTTGTCTGATTATTGCGAGTGCTAAAAATAAATACAGCAACAATTGTGAACAAAGAACACAAAATTCTATAGACATTTGTTTTGGTTATTTTTTACACTCCAATAAAAAGAGTCGTTTCTTATTTTTGTATTATTTTGTTGGGCGAGTCTCAAGTGCGAAACATTGTTTGCGGAAATTAACTAACAAATTCCACAGCAAAAGTAAATGCAGTAAAAAACAGTTCCTCATTAATTTGAAATACATTTATTTAATCATAAAACAAGTTAATAAAGTTAATAAAATGTTTGCAAGTTACATTTTAAATATAAATATATATTCATATATTTTTATGTACACGGAAAAAAATTTTATATAATTCTTATTAAAGCCAAAAATCAATAAACCCAAAATTAATGAAATGTTAAGTGAATTATTTTGTTTGAAAAGTTTTTTTTATATGAATATAAATATAAAAAAATAAAAATAAAAAAAAAATGGCTGTGCACAGTTCTTTGCCAGAAATAATGTATGATTTAAATAGAAACAATAATAATTCAAAACCAACGCAATTTCTTAAATTTTTAAAATTGCATATAAAAATCGTGATCTTTTTTTTTTTTTGCAAATTTTCGGAAAGTTTTAACATTCGAAATCCCTTTTCTAAGACTTTTGCAATTTGAAAAGTGTTTGTGTTTGAAAGTGAAAAATAAATAAACATAAAAATAATAAATAAATATTTTAAGCATAGTTATAGTTTTCTATAATAAGTAAATATTATTATATTATTTTAAGATACTAACTGGAATAATTATGGATTGACTTTGAAAGTATAATAAAAATATTAAAAATATATTTCACTTTAAAATTTAACAATTGCCAATAAACAATTAAAATATCTTTACCGTCCTTATACATTTTAATACATTAAATATATTAAGAAAAAAGAAGATTACGACTTAACTTTATGTATAATTCGGGGAAAGAAATGTATAAAAGAATTCTCAGAATATTTAAGAGACAGCGAAATCTTAAAGAACAAAAAGTTAACTAATCTATATTGTCTTTCCCACACTCATATTATTTATTTTATTTTTATATTTTTACTTATATTTATTCGTATTTATATTTATTTAATGTATTATGCATGCGTATCCAGGTATATATTTTATTTATTTAATACAACTGCCTTGTAACTTTTCTTAATCAATTTTTATTATCTCTCAACTCGTTTCTTACAGCACGCAAATTATGAAATGTGCGTAAAATTCCCCCCCAAAATAATTCGATAAAAGATAAATAATTCCCGCAAAAAAAAAAAATATGTTGCTTGTGTAAATCGTGTTTATTTTGTTTTTCTTCATTTAAAGCAACGTTTTACATTAATTAAATACACAAAACGCGGGAAAGAAGCAGAAATATAAACCATAAAAAAAAAACAAAAGCAAAAGCAAAACTAAATAACAACAACAACATCACAAAAAGGTGATAATGATTATTTCCAAGGATCTTTTCATATTTGGCGAACAAATTTTTGCAACAATTATACCAGAAGGTGGAGTCGCTCTCGCCACGCAGCAGCAGCAGCAGCAACAGCAACAGCAGCAGCAACAGCAGCCGGCAATTATAAATACAACAACAGCAACAGCATCGGCAGCAGCAACAACAACAACAGCAGCCGAACAAGTTGTTGAGGAGTCATTAAAATCGGCAGCAGCAGCGGCAGCAACATTGCCCATTGCTGCGACAGCAACAACAGCAGCAGCACAAAAGCAACAACAACAACAACAACAACAACAACTGCCAGCAGCAGTTAATACTAAAACGTCATCAGCAGCAGCAGCAGCAGCAGCAACAACGCCGTGTTTGCTGTCGACTAAACCGGAAACAGTTGCAGTTGTTGCCGCCAGCCTCAACAACAACAACAACAACATCAGCAACATCAGCAACAACAACAACAGCCTGCTGCGCAGCATTGTCGGCAACAAAACAAAAATTCAAAAAATTCCACAAGCAGCTGAAGAATTGAAAGCCAAGCAGAAGCCAAAGGCGCAGGCTCCGATTCAGATACCGACGCAGGCGCTGGCCAAGTGTGAAGTGTTGGCCCAGACGCATTACGAAAAAATGCCAATGAATTTGTTGGCCCAAAACGCTGCCGCCAACGCGGACTCGGACAGCGAAACGGCAACGGGCGGCGGTGGCGGCGGCGGCGGCGGCGGGGACGGGGGTTGCTGTCACATGGAGGAACAGGTACCGTTGGTTGCCAGTCGACGTAATCTGGCCAAAATAGTCGCCGATTGTCGCCTGCAAATCGATGTGCAGCCAATTGCAACAGCAGCAGCAGCAGCAACAGCAACAACAGCAGCAACTGTTGCAGCTGCACCGACAGCAGCAGCAGCAGCAGCAACTGGCACAATTTGCAGCGACTCATCATCCGGCAGCTCGTCCAGCTCAAACTCCTCCACGATATCCACAGATTTTACGCACAACTCACAAACGATATTGCCGAGCGCGGAAAATCTGTCTGCATCGAAACTGGCCAAAACTTGCATTTTAGCTGATGCCCAAAGGTGAGTACATCTGCTTTTTGACCCAATTTTTTGTGCAACCAACACAGACATCTATAGTGATAGACAGGGGGGGAGAGGAAGTGGCGAGGGGAAGCGGGGCGGGTAGAGGAGGGGAGACAGAGAGAGATCGGGCTTTTGCTCCCTCCAGTTAGAACCCAAAGTCCAGTTTCAGGCAGCTCTCTAAAAAGGAAAAAATACACCAAAAAATAAACAGGCCAAAAACTGAAGTGTGCGTATAATTTCACCTACAAAATTTGGGACGCACACACACACACACACACACACAACACAACACACACACACACCTCAGCCACAGCTTAAGAATAACAGCAAAGCTGCATGCAAAAAATCAAAATAAAAAAAAAGTTGTATAAACATATAAAAAGAGAAACAAGTCGGCATGGTTAAGCCTGATCAACTGTGCGCCACCCTGTAAAAATAAAAACCTACAAAATGTTGATTTGCACTTAAATACTTCAATTCTAATGCAATCTTTAAATTTTTATTTATTTTTTACTGGTCGACAAGACGAGTGTGTCAGCCTTATATATAGGAAATTAAATATTAAATTATTAAAGAATACAAATATTTTTAATAACGTGACCGACACACGTTGGAGGTTAATTTAGACCAAGTTTACAGAAACTAGCATCTAGTATATGCTCTCTCTTCCCTTTTGGTTTACTGAGTATAAAAAGTGAAGCTAAGAACTCTGCGTAAGGAGCAGGTTTCTGAATTAAACTGCAGCGGCTGCATTTTGTCGCCGCTGGGGGGATTATATCTGTACATATATACATATATATTAAGGTATATACTTATGGCAGTGAGTGTGTGTCTGGTGTTTTATACCACTGCCGCCAGCTGCATCATAAAGGCCACAAAAAAATAAAAAACAGGCCACAAGCTGCAAGCTGAGAAGTGGCCGCCAACAACCAATTCCATATTTGATTACAAGCTCTTCTAGGAAAGGGAATTTTGTGAAGTGCTTAAACAAGTGTTAAATAAAACGCATAAGTACACAAAAACAGGCATGAATACATATCATTTTTAATTCTTCTTTGTGTTGTGTTCGTAAACGATGTAGACATCATAGTTTATGCATTCTTACTATCTCTCTGTCATACTCGCTTTCTCTCGCTCTCTATCTTTCCATGTGTCTCTTTCTGTCTATCTCTCTCTTCATGTCTCCCTCTCTATCCAGCTTTCTTTGTCTCTTTGTCTCTCCTCTTTCTGTTAATAGCAAACGATTTCTTTATTTCGTCATTCGTAAATGTTTTACTGGCTGCTCTGTTAGGACATGTTTTGTCGCAGCTCTGAATAGAAATTTGATCTACTTCAAGATCATGAGATTTTCTTGAATTAAGCTTCACTTGCTGCAGCTGCTTTGAAGTATATTCAAATATCTCAATTGTATGCTGTGTTCGCAAACGTTTTACTGGCTGCTTTAAGCTGCTGTGCAACTAATTGAGATTCTAATTAAGATCTCTTTTTATTTCAATAAATTCTTTGCTTTCTATACTTTTATTGGCTTAACTTAAACAGAGTTGCTTTCTTTTAATTTGATTCATGCAACAATTCAAAGCCATAACTCGATCATGATTCTTGCACTGTGTTAGTTGAAGCCCTGGTTAAACATTTCAAGAATTTCTTGATTCTTGGATTCGTGGCTGCCTCCCTTTGCCGCATGCCCCAAAAGCCAGCACTCATGCAGCACAGTGTAACTGCTCCAGATAGCTGGCAACAGCTTGTTGCAGTTTTTGGTGCCAATCTGAAGTTATTTTACTTTTTGGAGCCAGCTGCTAAACGAGCATCAGATACATTCTTCCACTTTGCTCTCTCCCTCTCTCTCTTTCTCTCTCTCGCTGCCTCTCTCTCTTTCCCAACTACCAAAAAAACTGGGTCAACCAATTTTCTGGCAAAATTGCGACAACAGATGCACGAGATTAAAACAGAAAAAGAAACTGGCAAAAGCGAAAAAATAAAAGACACAACAAATTCAACTTCAAATAAAATGCATTCATTCAGCTGGCAGCAGAACAGTGCGCTACAAAAGTGCATGTACTCAAGTGCACTTTAAATCGCATAATAATTGAAAATATTTATGTTAAATGCACATAATGAAGTTGCACTCAGCACACACACACACTCATACACACACAACACATTGTTGTGCACATTGTAATTGAATTTAATTTAATTCCTGCAACTAAATTGCAGCCAATCCGCAGCGCAGCCAAAGCGAAGCCACTTCTTGTAGGCTTAAATTAAAAATAAAAATATATACAAAAAAAATGACGATATATACTACAAGTAAGAGTGCTTAAGTAGGCAGTGCTCGACTTGGAGATACTCAGTGCACAGCGACAGGCCGTTGTTAAAAGTATTTTAACTTTGTTCTACACTTCTTCCGCCCTTTGTGCTTCTTCCTTCATTTGCTTTGTCTTCGTTAAGATCGGTATTCGTTGTCCGATTGTCCACTTGAAATCTGAAAATATATATTCTAGATTGAGTCGCCTTATGTTCAAGCACATATATACATCTCATGAATATAGGGCGACCCTTAAGCCTCTGCAAAAAAGAGCTCCTTGAAAATTGCACTTTGACGGCAACTTGTGACCAAGCACATATATATGTATAAATCTTATGCAGCATTCAAAACTAAAAGTCCTTTAAAATTGCACTTTTACTTCTTCACTGTCTCCACTGTCAATCTACCCTTTGCTCATTTGCCAAAGGTTTGGGTTATACAAAACTAAAACTCGCATAATTGAACTGTGCGACTGCAATTCAAATTAACCAAAATATGCACTTGAATCCACTCACTTGCCATTCGTTAGCTAGTCTGTGTGTGTGTGTGTGTAAATGTGGTAATAGATGTCAGTCAGTCGCTCCGAGGGGCAGTTAGATTGTCAGTCAGCTGCCTCGCGGCTGCCAAGTGACAACGAATTAAAGAAGTAATTTTAGCTGCAATTGCAACAGCTCCAAAAAAAAAAAAAAAAATTAAAATAAAAATAAAACAAACTAGCAATGATTACACTGAGCGAAAAAGAGGGGATGTTAACCATAACCAAATCCCAGACAAGAGCTGCAAATAAAACAAATTGGTGAAGGTCTTGGTTTTATAAACTTAATTTAACTAATTCTAGCCTTTATCGCTCATAAAATATATAAATTAAAACAAATATTCATTTATATCCTATATAGATAAATACTTTTGCATGGAAAACAATAAAAATAAAAAAAGTGAGACTTTAAGTTCATGCACTTCTCTTAAAGCTTAAAGCTTTAAAAATACAGTTTCATGCACTTAAAGCGTATAGCTCTGCTTGTCTATACAATTTCACGAACTTGAAGCTTAAAGATGGATATGCTTACGCAATTTCATGCACTTAAAGCTTAAAGCTCGACTTGTGTTTACAAATGTATAAAGTTAAAGCTCTACCAGTCTATACAATTTCATACCATTAAAGCTTAAAGTCTACATTGGTATATGTACTTAAAGTTTTACTTATATACACAAATTAATGCACTTAAAGCTTACAATTTGAAGCACTTAACGCTTAAAGCTTTAATATTCTATACAACTCGCGTTTCTCTCTTACCTTTATGACTTCTCATATTTGGACCTGCTTCAAGTATTTTAATTTAAGCGTATACAGACTCTTTTGCTCAAAGTGTGTTTTGTAATGTAGACCCGATTGGGCCAATAGTTTTTATAAATTGTATAATTATGCAATCTATGATTCCAACAATTGAGCTTTATGCATATGTCATATAATTGATTTTATATAGCCTGGTTTTACTCTATATCATAAATTGAAACAACCCAAACTAGATCTTTGAAATTTGTGGCATGTTTTTTAAGATTGATAAGTTTTATTGTCTCAATCAATCAAATGAATAATAAAAACCAGTTCTTTTATTGCTTTCGTGCTGGTTTCTTGAACTAGTTCATTCTACTTTCAAAACTCATTTTTCTTTGCTTTGACTGTTTATTTTTAAGCATTAAAGCGAAAACTGATAAAAACTTAAAATTGTTCGAGTGCTTTTGCATAGATGAGAACATTTTAAATTAAAGTTAGAATATTCTATAAAAATGTGTGTAAAACTTTTGTTGATGAAAAAATTAAACTTTTTACACAGGCAAGGGATAGCTTTAAGCTAAAGCAGGATTGGATAAGGCCTGTAAAGCTGTTGTATGACAATTTTGTGGTGCGATTCGCTTAAAGCATATTTATAAAAATTCATCCTTCTGGTTGGTAAATGATTCTCTAAGTTTAATAATTTCTTCGTCGATTGACCTTAAACTCGAATATCAGAGAACACAAACATTGGGAAAAACTTAACTCTTTTGCTTGTTTTATATTTTATCGATTGTATTGTATTGATACAAGTCTTTCATGTTCATGGAGAATTTGGCAGCGTGGAAATAATTCTGTATATGTAATAATATAGAATATTCTCGCCAAATCATGCTTCTATCATCTGGCAGCATATTTAGATATGTACAATCATTTTCATAGTTGCAGCTGCAGTTGCATTCCATTTGCATGGCTAAGCCGAACAGCTTGTGCATCAAATCAAATTTCAAGGAAACACACACATACTTCCAATGTTTATACAACTTTTTTCTTTTTCTTTTTTTTTTATTTATTTAAAGCGAATACCGAAAGCCAAAAATTGTATTTGTATTTGTGTTATTTTTTTTTTTTGTTGATGGCGATGCGATTTGTGCGTGTGCCTCGATTTCATTTCCATTTCCATACAATCCGCTGGAATCGATTCGGAATTCGAGCGGTTAATGTGCGATTAAAGTTTGTTGAACCCGGCAAATGAGAAGAATATGTGTAGATGATGAAGAAGAAGCACACGCAGAAGCAGAGGCTGTGGCAGAGGCAGAGGCAGAGGCAGACAAACGCATTCTTGGCACACAAACAAAGCGCAAAGCACAAACATTCCCATTTTGTGTTGCCTGTGCGGCATTTTATTTATTTATTTTTGTTTCATATTGAAGCACTATCGGCACATTGCCACGCCCACACACACACACACACACACACACAGCCGCCCACGCCCACAGACGCCCCCACAGAACGTCAGCATCTGGGTGCGAGCAGAAACTAAATGAATCGCAACTGAGATGAAGTCCAAGTCGCTATCGGATCGAATAGGATCGACTCCCTCTACCTCCCTGCCCACCCTGCAATGGAGGGGCAATGCCTAACTAGGCTAATGGCTCACAGTCGATGCGAATGCTCGATCGTATGAGTGTGCGAATGTGTGTGTGTTGTGTGTGTGTTGAGCCTGAAAGCTCCAGAGGGAATTGAAATAGGACAAAATAGTCATAAAAAACCAAATTGCAATTTGTGTGCAAATAGGCAAATATTTTATGTTTACAATAATTGTTTCTCGAGGTCAATTCCAATCGAACCCTTTTATCATACCTTTTTTTTCTCTTGATATATTCCCCATTTCCATTGTTAATATCAGTTTTGAAAAAGGGGTTTTCTTTCAAAAAAATCACGTGGAAAAAGTCACCGATCCAGAAGAATTCACTCTTCGGATATGAATTTCTGAAAACAAAAGAAAACTTTGAGGCTGGATAGCATTTGGTTTTCTAGTCAGCTTTTCTTGCCAAGGTTATTCTCATATAATTAATTTTTCAAATTGATTCTTCTGGGCTGATGTGGTTCAAGTTGGACTTCTTATGGCTTAGAAAAATGCATAAAATTCTACTATCCAAATATATTGGCAAGCTTCCTGCATTTTTACAATTTTGCTTATACTTTATAAACAAGTGGAAACTATTAAGGATAAAATAATTGTCAAAAAAAACAGACGGACATTAACACATAGAAAATGTTACGTTTGCGAGCTTTAAGTTTTACAAACGCTTTAAGAGCCGCTTTAAAATAATAAGCTTAAAATAAAACTGAAGTTATTTTTTTATGCATTGTTGTTAATAAACATTAATATCCGAAGTTCTTAGATTCATTTAAAAAATAACTTTCGCCGCTTTTCTGAAGCTTAAAGCGGAGCTTTAAATAAGGTTTTAATTAAAATCAAGAGCTCGATTTACACATTTTATTACATAAACTACTTTCTCAGTTATTAACGGCCTTAGCCTCACTGAAGCTTTAAGTTTTATTAAAATACATTATTAACACTTTAATCTACTTAAACTTGCCTATGTAAAGTTGTTAGCTCCTTTTAATAAATAGCTTTTGCCGTTTTGTTATTTGTAGATTACATTTGCAGATACTATTTTCAGTTTTTTTTTTTCTACAAAGTTCTCTTTTGTAATTTGAAGCCAAGAATTTGCTCAACCATTTTTGCAACCCTTTTTTTTCGCTGCTGCCAATTGATGCGCTGCCAGAAACCGGTTAATAAACTTGTATGTGGGTCAAGTTTTGTCTTGATAACACACGCACACACGCACACTCTCTAACAATAAAAGCAACAGGCGTGTCAAATGCAACAACAACAACAACAAACAGATAAACAAAACATTGAGTGGGGCAATTTGAAATGGCGCATTTTGAATTCAGCAGAGTTTGAGTTGGGTTGGGCTCCGCTTCGCTTTTTGTTTCAGCTTGTATTGCTAAGATCTTTATTAGATACACGCATAGAGCTTCAAACAGCCTGAGGAGTTGGGCAAATTGAATCACAGCTAGTTCTAGGTATCCTACTACCTAGCACAAAAGTTGGCCAGGTAAAAGCTAAACGAAATTCGATTTCTTAGAAATGCCCAAAAACAACAACTGAAATAAAAACAAGTCCTGTGCAGCTGCTCAAGCTATGCCAGCTGTGATGATCTATTGTTGTGTACACTTTTTATTAGAATAGAATAGAATTAGAAAAAAAATTGCTCTTCAGCAGAGCTTTAATCGCCATGCGACATGCTCAGAACCATACCATTCAAATGTTCAAAGCTGAAAATAATAGTAAAATGGAAATATATTCTATGACAGCTGCTGCCTTTGGATGTGTATGTTCGTCTCGGCTTACCCAAATATTTGCTTCATTTCGATATCAGTTTGAGCGTATTTTGAAAATAATAATTTTTATCGAGCACCTTGATGCATTGATTGCAAATGGTTTTCGGATACAGATCGGTGGGTGTTATTTGGAGGCCGAATGCCTTCATCTTCTCGACGAGTCGCAAACGCTTCCCATAGCCCATATATATGTGCATCATCGATGTCTCCCATTGGTGGCACATGCGGCAGCGGCATCGAGCGAAAGGCGCATATTCAAGGCTGCCCATTTTCGCTCTATGAAGTGCTCGGAGTGTATCTCTTTCGATCCTTACCTCTTTCTCTTTTCGTTTTTATTTAGCCTTTGAGTTTGTACGTTGACATTTGACATCATAAACAAAGTTAATACATAGCCTTTTAATATCTAACTTATTTAAGAAAACAGTATGACACTTTGTACGCTTCTCTCTTCAATTGTGGCTTAGATTCGCGGTGTAATTCGCTTTTATCTTTACTCCTTTTCTCATTTTAATTATGTTTGTTTTCTTCTTCACTTCTTCCTTTAACAATTCCCCTTCTCTCGTATCCATCCCTTCTACATTACATTGCTGTGATTTGTATTTTCATGAGCTTTCTATTTCTATTCATATCTTAAGTTTTTTTCATTTGAGTTTGCAGCGTTTCCTTTATTTTGTTCCGGTTCGCTTCTTACTCTCTTCTCGCTCTACTTCCTCCTCTTATATTTTTGGTTTTTTTTTTGCTCATTTGCTTCCGCTTCGCTTCCTTCTCAGATTTATTCTCTTTACACTTTTTTACTTCTGCTGCATTCATACGTTTTAATTTGTTTTACTTTACATCTTTATTGTCTTCTTCCTCCTTTTAACTTCTTTTCTATTCACTTACCTTCTCTTTCAGTTTTATCCTTTTGTACTTATCCATTGCTGTTAGCTAAAGCCTTGTGTTTATTTTATATCGCTTCTCGCTGCGATGGCTTGTACTTATCCTATTTTGGTTCTCGCTTTATTGATCATTTTTTCAAACTTTATTTTTCTTGCTTCGCTTCTCATCAAACCCATTTCCCTTGACTTAGCTTTGCTTAGTTTATCATATTTTTGTTTTTCATATCACTTTTAACTTCTCTTATTGCTTCTCTCTCTCTCTCTCTCTCTCTCTTTCTGCTTTTGACGTATTACTTGAACTGTATTCAAAACTTTAGAGCATTTTAACAATGTGTTCACAGTTTTTGTTCAATATTGTTTACCCATTTAAACTGTTCATAAAGAAGGCGCTTGCATAGTTTTAAAATGAATTAAGTTTCTTCTTTTATTATTTATTATTTCCCGAGTTGAATGCACTTTTCGCCTGCCATATTCGCCCCTGTCTCAACTGATCTCTGTCTCGCTCCATCTGCCTGTCTCTCTCTCGCTCTCTCTGTTTCTCTCTGTCTCCCTCTCTCGCAGTGTGGGCGCCCAGATGTCAACGTCGAGGTCTGGGCCAGCGGCTGCGCCGGCGTTCTTTGGGGCAGGCGCATTTGCATGCGCGCTAGAAAAGGCGGCACAACGAATTGCTCTTCATTCGCAAGCAGCAAGAGAGTGGGGAGGGGGTAGGGGGCTGGCATAGAAATTGCAATTTATTATAATTTAATCTAGAATAGAAAATTAAATAGACGACTCGTCTGGCAGCTGGCGGCAGCTGCTGCTGCTGCTGTTGCATACATTGTTGCAAGTTATCGCGGGTTTTATCTACCGTTAGGCTGCGCCAGTGTCAATAACACAGCGCGTGTGGGCAGCGTGTGTGTGCATGTGTGTGTCTGTGTGTGCGACACACACGTGCGTGTGCGTGCGCGGGGGCGTTGATGACAACGGGCAACCGGGCTGCAATGGAGGCCAACGGCAAAGACTCGTCAACTGTCACTGTCACAGTCACAGTCGCAGTCACAGTCACAGTCGCAGTTGACGCCTGTGATTGAATGTTGCATGTTTATTGTTATGTGCTTGTTGTTGTTGTTGCTGCTGCTTAGCAAAACGAATAAAAATTAATTCAAAAATAATTTATTGTCATTGTCATTGTTGCTTTTGTTGCTGTTTCTGCTGCTGTTGTTGTTGTTGTTGCAAGCTATATTAGTTTAAATTGCGGTTGCAGCGGCAGCAGCTGTCAGCTTTTATTGTTGTTGCCGACATAGTTGACGCTGTTTTTGTTGTTGCTGCTGCCTTTGTTGAGTGCATTCACTTCTATTGCATTTGTGTGACCTTTACAAGTTCATGCCAAATGTACGTTCTTGAACTTTGCCAAACATCATCATCATCATTTTTTATAACATCATTATGACGAGCGTCATCTATCAACGGTGCGCGTTAGTTCTGCATTTTACGAGAACAAACCAAAATAGCACTAAAATAAATCACAAAATTTAAATATAAATAAACACCTGGCGTATACTTAATGTGCAAACGCATTTTTTGATAGAAATTGCGCATACGCCCCACTGGCTGTGGGTTGCAATTGAGTTGTAAATATATTTTACAGAAAACCAAAAATAAATTTGCTCAAAATGAAATAAAATATAAAGACAATATAAAACAAAAAAGTGATTTACAAAATTAATAAATAGACACGTAAATGGAAAGAGACATAAAATTGTAGTGGGAATAACAATTAAAATTGAATAACAATTAATATATATTATCTAAAAAAAAAGTAAGCGTTGGAAATATGGGATATAGAAAGGCATGTTTATTGAGGGATATTTATGAAAATGAAAGCCATTTTTCTTATAGATAATATTTTGACTTTATTATTTTCGACGAGTCTTAGGTGCATTTATCTGAGATAGTGTAAAAGAGTTGATTAATTGATTTAATTCAGCTAATTTTATATCGATGCAAAGAAATCGTAAACATATTGCGCACCTAAAGCTTTATTTAACTAGTAAACAGAAGCTAAGGTAATCTATTTGGTGAAAATAGTCGTTGATATATATATAAAACTGGATCTAGCTAATTGCAATTGGCTAAGCATTATAAATGTACCGTTATGCGTTACACAGAGCACATGACAAAGTAAAATTTTATTTATACGCGAATGGTTTTTTTTTGTTTTTTTTTTTTGCAAATGACTCATAAAAAGCGTCTAGCCAGGGGGCAAGGAGGGAGCAGCGGTTGGTAGGCGAATAGCTGCAACAAGTTGCATAAGAGGGGCGCACATAAAATATGCATCTACAAAAAAAAAAAAAAAAAAACAACAAAACCTTTTGAAACTGGAATCCGAAACGGGGACTCATTAAATCATAAAAATTGCAAAGCCAACTATAAAATGCCCAATGAATTTTTAGGAAGCCACAAGAAACGACCCGAAACATTTAAGCAAATTGCTTTGGTTTAGTTTGTTGGCTGGGCATGTGTGTGTGTGTGTGTGTGTGTGTGTGTCTGTGTGTGTGTGCAATGACATTAAGCCAAAATAAATAAATAAAACAAAATGCGGCAGACTTTCAGATCTTGAGGCGCCGCCGCATCAAATCAACAATTTTATGAGTTGCACTTTTTTCTCTTAAGTTGAACCAAATGGATTCGTTTGTATACATGCACAAAAGGCACAAACACACTCAAACTCTCACACATGGGCGCATGAACACTCCGAGCTATTACATTAAGATCAACAAGAACGACAACAACAAACAAAGGAATCTAAAAACCATCCGAAAAAAAGGCGGCTAATAACCTTAAGTTGCTTTTGCCAAGAGTCAAATAGTCCGACTTGTTCGTGTTGAGAGCGGAAAAATTGTGTATGTGTATAAACTGCGAGAAATTTGAGTGTGTTTAATTGAATGAAATGAATATTAAATATATAGAATAGCATGAAATTTGAGTTGGTTTGAACTTATTGTACATTAAATTTTACTAAAATATTTATATAAATTAAATTTCGAATATAATTTTAGTATAGTTTTCTGTTATGTTTAACATTCGGCTCACTTGAATTTCTTTCAGTGTAATCGCGTGTGTAACATTAACTGCTTCAAGCCATGGACGTGTGTGTAGCCAAATGATGGGGGAAAAGGCAACTCAAGTGTGTGCATGTGTGTATGTGTGCATGTGTGTGTGTGCCACTGCTGCTGTTAGCCGGCTGTTGTTGCTGTTGCCATGGCTATTCCCTGTTGTTGTCGCTGCCGCTGCCTCAGCTGCTGTGGCCCCGTCTCTCCTCTCTCTCCTCTCTCTCTCTCTCTCTCTCTCTCTCTTGCGGGTTTTTCGAGAAACCTATAGACCTACATTTTAAACAAATTGCGTTTTTTCTTTTCCTTTTAGTTGTTGTTGTTGTTGTTGTTGTTGTTATTGTGTCTGTTGTTTGTGATGTGATCAACAAATTTTTTTTTTCGTTTTGTTTTTCTTTTGCTGTTAGCTGTTGTTTTCATTATTTGACTGCGTTGGGTTTTCTTCCAAGAAGCCGCGACTGCAATAGGCGCTGCCGCTGCTTGCGATGTTGTTGTTGATGATGATGATGATGATGATGATGATGATAATAATGAGCGTAAGACGAGTCAGTCAGTCAGTCAGTGTGTCTTGTATAAAGCTGCTCTTGCTGCCGCTGCTGCGCTGCGCTGCTTCTCTTCCCACTCCCTTGCCGCTCGTTTGGCAGCTTCTAATCGCACTTTGTTGCTTCAGCACCATCATCAGCTTTAAGTTTTATTGTTATTGTTGTATATGTATGTTGTTGCCTTTTGACGACTGCGTCATCAGCGCACAGCAGCGCGTAGATCGCTGCGCTCTGCTTTTGCGCACTCCCTCTCTCGCTTTATCTCTCTTTGGCTGGCTTTTATGCGTCTGTGTCTCTGGCTTGCGGCAGTGGGTCTTCACTTTCGCCAATTCTGAGCTCCACTTGCCAGGTTCAATGGCCGCTGCGCTGCCAGCCGGCGTCGCTCTGCCGCCGTCGAGCGCCATTCGCACGTTTTCGACGCCTTGTTTCGTCTTTGCGTTTTTCGCACAAAACGTCATTTGCTCATTTCATCATTTGTTCATTTCATTTGTTTATTTGTTTGCCTGCAAAGCGTTCGCTATGCGCTCCGCTTTGCCTTGCACATTTCTTGTTGTTGTTGTTGTTGTTGTTAATATTGCTCAATTCCTAGGCAGCGGCTACTGTGCCTGCCTTGTTTCTGCCCTGCCTTCCACCTGGTAGCAATTTTATTGGCACATTGTCGCCGACGCATATGCAAAATAATATCCCAAAGTCTCCGAAGTTTCTACGCCCAGTTTTGCCTTTCCTTATTAAAAAAAAAAAAAAAAACAAATGTGTGAGTCATTTGTGTTAACTTATTTTATTTCTTATTCAAATGTAAAGGGACAGTGGAGGATCACAAATTGTTAGTAAATCTTAGACAATCTACATTTCTTTATAACTTATATAACTATGGAGTATACTTCTGCTATATACAGAGAGAGAGAGAGAGAGAGAAAGAGAGAGAGAGAAAGAGAGTGAGCTTATGTGTTTAAAATAATGTGACCATGGAGCACAATAACATAATATTAACAAAATAATATTATAGAGGGGAAATTGATTGCATTCAAAGAGTGGACAACAATCTTAATAAAATGACAATAGACATTTTTTAATGCAAATAATGTGACAATGGAGGTTATAAAATGTATGTAAATACAGCGGAAATGTGAACATGAAGGACAATATAAAATACTTGTACTCCGACTTGTTTTGACTGACTGACTGATCTTCTGACTGATCGATTGAGTGATCGACTGATTTATCGATTGACTGATTGACTGAATGACTGACTGACCCAATGACTGATCGACTGGTGATCAACGCACAGTTCGAACCGTAAGAGCTGAAATTTTCACTGACGTTACGGGTTTCGGGAAATTTCACTCGCATATGTGGAAAAATCTCGAAAAAGCTTTGTATGAAACTAATTTGTATACCATCGGATCGGCCTCAAATCTTTGTTGAAATTTATTGGATAAGCTTTTCGTGTTATCAGCTGCTCTTGAATATAATATAGCGGGTCAAAGGTCTTATGCATGCAGGTTTGATTCTAAATATAGTTAATATTTCCGATGAATTTTAC